TTGTCTGTACTCTGTTGTATTATATGTGAATTAGTATCCGCTGCTGTTTCTTTCTGTAATGTAATTATCTCTGGCTCTGGATGTATATATTGATACGAATAACGGATGGAGAAAAAGAGAAGGAAAAAGAAAATGAATGATCGATCAGATGAATCTTTTCACTACACGGATCTTGGGTCGTTATACCTTACTTGGAAGGACATGAGACGAGAACTTAACTTGAAATACCGACTCTTACTAGTGACCGTCATCTAGGGCATCACCCTACCTCTTTTGTTGGGACAACCCGTGGACCTTACTGTGGTCAAGACCACCCACCAACTAGTAACACCCGGGTTGTTGCCGCACCCTTTAGGTCTTCACTTAACCTGAATGGCTGACTCTCTACTGGGTCTTCTGTTGGACAAATCTCTTATGACTCCCCACGTGGACTAACTTCTAGCCATCACATTCAACCTTTAGACTCCCCATTCCTTGACCCTGCAGGTATGATTGGAATAAAGGAATACATTAAGAAGAAAAGGCTCCCTAAACCTGAAACTGAGTGCATCCATTTCATGGATGCTAGTGATGTCACTAATGACGAAGAATTCTTTGAGGATGGAACAGAAGTGATTGAGTCAGATCCTCAGAATGACTTAAACCCTGAGCTAGGAAAGTTAGAACCTGTAAACGTCGACACCTTAACCCACCCCGATCCTAGTTTCCTCGAGGATAACTCTTTAGATAAAGTCTGACTGGACGATAGTAATATGATCTCGAAAGGAGCCAATCTGACTTCGAACACGTTGAATTTAAATTTGGAAGATCCTGATTTAGTTGTATCACCTACTGAGTCGACTTTGGATAATCTTGATGGTAATAATCTCGAGTCGGGAGTGGTTCAATTGAATTTACTACCTGATTTAACTCCCGATTTAATTGACCCTGAATCCAGTGATCCTAAGGATACAACTAAACATGATTCTATTGAGCCTAATACTATGAGTTCGGAAGATAGTAAGTTGGGTCTGAAAATTTTTGAGCCGAATTTGAGTAATGAATCTCCTTTTGTTTTATTGGAGTCTAGTTTAGGAGTGACTCATATAGAGTTACATTTTAACGAGTGTGTCTTTCTTGATTGGACTTATCTCTCCATTCATCATACCGACAACAACGTTAGAGAGAGTCTTAGCCCATGCTTTAATGTCACCACTCTAACTGTTGTGCCCACTTCTGATAGGAATACCTTACCCCATTTCTTGAGTCTCATACCTGCTGGTGACTCGTTGGACTATCCCCTTATGGCAGTGAGTCAGGACCTATCTTCTTATCATATCCATGACTCCGCCAACATGTCCTCTTTAGTCTTGTCCTCCCCTATTAAGGACCCCCATCTCCTAGTTGGATGAATTTGATAGATTACATTGTTACCCCTAGGAGACTAACCTCGACCTTAGCTGAAACTTTATATGGAAGTGCCTTAGTAGCTAAGGATGTCTTTTTTGCTCCCCCTAAACCAATTCCCATAAATTTGGAAACTTTAAGTCCCCTCATTTTAGGTTTAACCCATTGTTATGCTTATCTATGTGTGCTTGTGAGTCTGTGTGTTTGCATGTTCGTTTTCTGTCAAGTTTGTCCTTGTTTAAAGCTTTGGTGTAAGCCCAAAGTCTTGTCATTCATCAGGCACATCGGGTTTGTCGCATCAGCATTTGCATCGCATTTACAAGAATTGCACAAAGAAATTAATAAAAGGATTGAATTAAGCAATGCTAACTATAAACTCAATGCGGACCTCAAGAGAAAAGTTCAAAGAATTTGAAGTAGGAGATTATGTGATGGTTCAGATTCGTCCGGAGCGGTTCCCGCAAGGAACCGTTAAGAAATTACACGCGAGGAGCGCGGGGCCTTTCAAAATAATTTCCAAAATTAATCACGTGTCGGAGGAGTGTCGGACGAGTGTCGTGTCGGACACGGTGTCGGACACTGCACGCCTCTTTGAGGAGGTGTTGGTGCATCATAGCTTGTAACCTATGAGGGACCATAGTTTAACCCTACCAATCCATTACATGATGAGCCTTGTGAGTTCCCACCTGGTGAGATCCCCAGCCTACCCCCACTCCCAAAAATTCCCACTTTACCTACCGCGGAGAGGATTGAAGCAATACTTAGCGATGAAATAATTTCCACTAAGGACGGTGGTCGCCGAAGGTATCTGGTCCAATGGGCAGGAAAGCCGAAAACAATGTGGATCGACCGAGATGAGCTAAAGAGATTTGATCCGGACTTACTGGAGTTGTACGAGACTTCTAGAGACACTTACTCGACAGGGTCGAGTTTTCTCCCACCTGGGGAGAATGACGGGGACATCAGATTTCGATACGTGTACCATCGCCGGAGACGCAGATCGACGGCGACGATTCAGAGCCTCTACTTCTAATTTATGTGCATTTTATTTTTATGATTGTATGATTGTATTTTCTGTTTTCCTAGTTCGCCCCTGTGTGCATTGAGTCGCTTATGTAGCCTGGAAGGGCATTTGTGTCTTTTTTCTTTTTCTCATTTCGGCCTATTTATATGAGGCCTCATGCATTGTATTGAGGATGATTGGATGAATGAAATTTCTTTTTATGTTCTCTATGTGAGTGCATGAAGATCTCTTGGTGAGTTCTTCCCTTTGAGATCTCTTAGTGAGTTCTCTAAGCAATTGCTAATCCTAGCATTCCTTTTCTTCCCTTTGCCTCTCTCCCACCCACAAGAGCGTTTTACATAAAATTTTTCATAGCCCTTGCCACCGGCCTCCCTAGGGATTCCCGCCACCGGCCAAGCTCGCAACCACCGGCCGCCCACCTTGCCGACGACCCTTCCCACCCGACCAATCCCTCTCCCACCAAGTTCAAATTTGAAATTTGAAATTTGAAATTCAGATTTTGAA